GGAAATTAGTTACGCCCTAAAATTCGACACCTCGCAATTGTCACCAAAAAATCTCTCTCGTTGTCCTGACGTCCTAGTGTTAACATCGTACATAGTTTAAATAAGTCTCAATAGACCACGTGTAAATCTATTGCATAAAAAGTAAAACATTTTTAAAGGTAAAGCGAAACATCTACTAATAAATTAAATCAACAAGGTTCATCAATTTTTATCAGGTATATTTTAAATTATTAATGTTTGAATTTAGTAATATTGTAGAATTCTTATATGAAAGAAAAGTTAACTTCAATCACTGTGTAATAATTGTAATAATTGTAAATTTAACTAATGATATTATTTTCGGACTTAAACAATATATGTATTAAAATTATTTAACTACATCAATTTATTCAAACAAACCTATCATTCTCAATAAATTAAACTCGGAAGTTCCCGGTCTATTAGCCTTACACGCTAGGGCCGAATACTTAAACACATTAAATATTTTAAATGTAAAATTAATTAATTACCCTAAATTAATATTTTTTACATAACACTTTTATTATTTACGATAAACATATTTATATAAGAATAATTTTGTTTAATAACAAAAAATAATAGTTAATTGCAGTGTTGATAACAAGTAAATCTTTTTTATTGGCTGTAAGATGTTCAAGGCAAAAAATTATCAAAAAATAGTAGTCAGAGAAGCACAATCCATAGAGAACAGCGAAAAAAAAATGAAACTAGTAACTGGAAAAGATAAATCATATACAGGATATTAAAAAGTAGTGGGGAGACTAACTCACTTATGTTTAAACGGTTCGAAAACAAATAACCCCTTCCTTGAATACTTACGTAGAAACTATCCAACAAATTAGAAAAGTAAAAAGAGTTCAACTATAGAAAATAAAACTCCGGTAAATCTTGAGCTACGCGAGCTGATAAGCAGTTAGGTATTCTATGGTAAACCGAACATAGTCATTGCCACAGGTTTTTCTATATAAGCCCGAACTTGGTGTGCCAATTATATTCGAAACATTTATAAGGGAAATTTCTTATTTCCTATTTTTAATTTATATTTTTGGAGTTGTTGAAATTACCGTTTTATTATTTTATTATACTTTGGAATTTGGATCATTAATTTCACAGAAAAAGGAATTGATGACGACTTTGAGACTCTTGGCGAATTATTATTAAATAGTACTGATGCGGACAGAGCTAGTATGATTGGAGAAATGGTCTTAAGATTGAAACTTCAGAAGAAGTATCGAGAGCATGTATATGATACCAAACCTATTCCATCCTTATACTGAATAATCCTTTTTTTTATTTCTTTTTATTATTTTCAATTAAAGAATGTATGCTGATAAATATATTAAAGAACTCTTTTCAATTTACAGATTGAAGCGAGTAGTAAACCAAAAACTGATGAAAGAGAGATAGTCTTTCCAATCAACGCCTCAATAATCTCAGATCCACTCAATTGTAACAGTGCAAATTGATATACTCGTGCTCGTGCAGGAGCCGTGCGTACCGGCCTTCGTTAGTTTCGTTTTCAGGCACTAGGCGGTGCGGTCGCTCGTTTTAATTCTCGGAGTGGGGAGGCCCTAAAATAGTCAGTCGAGCGGTGGAACAGGCAGTCGATCTTCGAGCCTACAACCCGAAAGATCTCCAAAGAAGCCAGGGGGCTAATCATTATCCAGACGGAGCGGGTTGTACTAGCGAAGACGAGGTCGTCTCAGTTAGGGAAAGTTTAGTTTAATTAGTTCTTGGTCTGCGAGCAAGTAGTAAAGTTCAAAGCTTAAAAGTGCATTTCGTTTTCCATTTTGTGAAGACCAGACCATCGACCACCGGGGTAATTGTTTTCCATGGAGGATCTTCCCACTGAAGCCGAGATAAGATCTAGAAACCGCGACGTAAGACGCTTAACATCTTTGTAAATTCTCGGGGTTTATTTTTTCATTGTGTTATTTGATTAAATTAGAGTCATTCATAGTCAAGTTGTTATAAATAAACTGATTAACTTAATTAATTAAATCGTACTGCGTCGTGATCGTAATTTCTAAACCGAGCCTCTTCCTCTCACGTAGCCATAGTTAATTTATTCCATCTATTCTGTGACCGAATATTTATTTTGGAGACCTGCTCCCTGAGTGCGAGCTAGCCGAAGTAACTCGGTTCCAGGAGGCCGAGTGAACTCAACATCAATCAACTCTCCTGGTGGCGTCCAGAACATCTCTGGCGTGGAACATAATATCTTAGTCAGGAGGTCACAAAACCTGCTAAGGTGTTACTGTTTTACAATGATAAATTTTCTATGTTCGATCTAATCTAATATTTGAAATCATCCAACATTATTATTAATAAAAAGAATGAATTATTTTTTTTAATTAAAAAAAGTGTGTGTGTACTTATATATGTACACACGTTAGAAGTTATACTTCTTTGGCGTAACAAGATAAAAATCTTTTTAAATATTTTATCTATCGCGTTATCCCACGTTTGTAGAAAAAACGACACTAATAACAGGAAAAAAAGGTATTTAATACATTGAAAGTTTTATTATTACGCACTATCTAGTTAAATAAAAATTATTTGAATACCATAAAAAAATTATTTCTACATAATTAAAAAAATCTGGAAATCGGTTGACCGTGCAGGCCAACCCTAGAATTTTTTTTAATTTCTTCGGAATGGCTTGATGAATGAACTCTTAAATCTAATCAGATATACGTTTTGATAGACCCTTTCGAATGACGTGTCGTAGAACTCAATCAGTTGATTCGTTTTTGAGAAACCGTGCGATAAAAATGCATTGACACACGCACACACGGCCAGACACCACCTGCGGCAGAGGAGAAACTGCTACCAGGCGCGTCTCCCCGTAGCGGATGGGTTGACACTCGCTGTCCTTGGATGACACTTGGATAATCTCCTACACGGAAAATAATGTGTAGTATCATTTACTACAAGATTGCAGTAAATGCTACTGTAGTTACAAATGTCACAAAAATGGTAACAGTTACTCAATATGCGTCAAATTTTACTAAGTCTATAAGTTGAGTTTACTCCAATCTTGCGGTTAATTCTACTGCACACTGCAGTAACAAATACTCCACGCGGGAGTTGAGAGTACTACAAAAGGAGCTGTTCCCGCTATTTCGTCATTTTAGGGTTAGTCTCTTATGTATACTTGTTTATTATAGCATCTCATAAATAATAATCTGACAATTTATTGAAAATTAAATAATTGATTCTAAATATCTAAGTGAAATGGAAGATTTTGTTTCAAATAAACTAAATGAGTGGGGTTTAAATCACTTAATACCAGCATTTCAATGTAAGTATTTATTTATGTATGCTAGCTCTTGGCTTAACCTCTGTTTTATTTAAGTTCTTCTCAACTCATTGCTATATTTTTTTTTAATGTAAATACTTTACTAATATTTTTAAAATTATTCTCAGCTCAAAATATCGATCAGTTTGTATTTGATAATTTGAGTGATTCAGACATATCTTCATTGATTAATAGTATTGGCGACTTCCGAAAATTTTCCATACTATATAATAATTATAAATTATCCACAAATAATCCTGAGCCTGACATTCATGTGCTTAAAAAATTACCTCATTCCCAAGATCCGTCTATCAATGTTGTTGATGTACTGAATGCTCCAATTATAATTAAAGATGCAGGTTAATCTTTAATTTTCACTCATTAAACTAATCTTCTAAATTTTTCTATTATTTTTTTAAATTAAATTAATTTGATTTAAATAATTATAATATTTTCCTAACCACATAAAAAATTTTTAAAACAAATTAATTTTTTAAAGTTTTTATAAAAAAATTTTTAACTAATTTTTTTTTTATTTGCAGAGGTTATTCACGATCAACCAAATATACAAATAATCAGTGCAGTTACAAGTAGAAAATTAAATTTTATACAACAAAAAGAGTATTTGGCTAGACTACTAAATACTCCAACTAAAGATATAATCGAAAGCGATATTCGTGGAGTCGCTGCTCTTAAATTAAACGATAAGCAAAAAACGTTTCGAAACAATATTGCTCATATAATTTTAGATAAAGTTCTGGATGTTGATCCATCGTTCAAGTATGTACAGTAGTATTTCATAAATATATTGGAGAGAAATCAGGATTTACATTTTATATCTTTTTTATAATAGGATACCCAGAGAGTTGTTTGCCAAATGGGCGACTGAATTAAGTGTTATTATCCCAACTGATTTGCCTCAAGTTTATTATTTTGAATCGTCAGTGAATGAAAAGGGTCAACCTTCATCGGCTGGTGGCGTATTGTATAATACGTGGATGAGTAAGCGCAGAAAATTGAAAAAGGCTGGTATGATTGTTGATGCAAAATTAAAACAACCTACTGAACAAGGTAACAGAGTTATTTCATATTTTATATGTACGTTAACTTTTCATCTTCATTAATATGTCATTAAATTTTAAAGAAATAACTTCTGCAAGTCCCGATGTAGAAGAAGATTTAACTTGGCTTCGCAATTGCACAGGACCTTTGAAAGATGTCATCGCAAAATGGAAACATACCCATAAACATCGATTAAATGACTTTAGAACGATATCGATATCGAGTTATTTAGAAAAATTTTTATTCCTCCGAGGACCACAGGGTTATTCATTAGTAATTATAATGTTTATTTTTTTATACCATTAGTTATTGATTTTTTATTTTTAATTATTTGTTTTTTCTTTTTTTTTAATATTGCTTTCTTTTTTTTAGATTGAAATTGACTTCAATGAGATTTATAAGGAACGTTCTAATCATTTCCTAAGCAAGTGGCCTAAAGTCTCTTCAAAAATTATCTCCTTAGCAAGAAAAAGATTTGACTCAAATTTTAATGTTTTAGAATTATTAAAAAAACACGTGAAAAATCAAGATACTGGTTTGTATATTTTTTTTAAGTTTCAGTAATTACAAATAAATTAAATAAAAATTTAAAAATTAATTATTGTATTACAGATAATAGTGAAGTGATAGCCTTATTGCTACTACCTTTTTTTCTTGGGACAAGAAATTTAAAACGAAACTCCAAGGGTCATCCTAGACGATCCTCGTCAGCAGAAAGCCAACATCATTTCATTTTGCATGTTGAAGTAGGTTTATAATATTATTTTATTATAAGTATTTTTTTGATATCTTATAATTGAACAGCTGATTTATTAATTTATTGAATTTTTCAATTTTTTCAGTCGAATGATTTGATCGATGATGAACTTGAACTTCGACAGAAACAACTAAAAAATCTTGGAGAGAGTAATCAGCCATTCGTCGTATTAGTAGGAACGCTATCGAGACTTTCATCATGCCAAGTTCGAATAGAAGATACTACGTACATTCTTCCTAATGCAACAAAAGCAGTTGATATTTGTTTTAAATCATTTACAGCATTAGATGCTAAATATCCTGAATTTTGTAAATGTATATGGTCATTTATTGAGTTACATTTTTTCGAGATCGAGAAAAAATATAACAAATTTATTAGTGTGACTAAATTCATTTCGGATCTTAATGCCACTGAAATTTAAAACTACAATTTTATATTCATCATTACTATTATTAAAAATGAAGTGTCATCTATGTTTATTGTCATTCAGTACATCTAGCCTCCTCATTAACCATTATAAGATTAATCATTCTATTAACAGTAAAACTATTTACAAGTGTATTGAAGAGGGATGTGATAGAATGTATGGAAATGTATTAACATTTAAAAAACATTTACGTCTTGTTCATGAATCAAAATATAATGTAACGGTGCCTGATGATATTAATAAAATAGAAAGTTGTCATACTGAAAAAAAAGAAAGCAATTCGTTGTCAAGTTATGCTACAGTTATAGAAAAATTTGATTCTGAAAATAACGCCGAGGTAATAAAAAAAACCTCATCAGCTTCACAAAGTTTAAGCTACAGTAATTTTGCGAGTACAAATAATAATGTTCAAAATTTTCGAAATAACATTTTTTCCAATAAACATTTTCCGAATGAAAAGAGAGAATCGTTACAAACTAATGATAAAAAGACAGAAGCTAACAAGACATTCAACTTCAATACTGAGTCCAATAGATCTGCAACAAATAAGCTTACAACCGATCTTACTGAATTTTTGTCCTATTTATATACTCTAAAAATATCAAGAAAAGACGCAGTATCGATAATTAATAAAATGAATTTATTTTTATCACAAAGCGTTTTTCCATATATCTTACAACAAGTAAAAGACGAATTAAATGATGAGAATATTTCCAGAAAATTTGAAATCATATTGAAGAGAATGAATTTTCTAGAGGATTTTAAAAGTGATGAACGATGTCTACAGTTTTTAGAAGATAATGATGCATATAATTCTCCTTCAGAAGGTGTCTTAGGCTACGCACAGCTACCAGAGAAAGCAAACAATGATATCATTATGGTACCTAAAGCTATTACGTTTGAATTTATCTCACCAACAGAGACGCTGAGCTATTTGTTTGAAAAGCCTGATTTTTATAATTTAATAATGTCATACACTAATGAGTTAAATAATGAAACAGATGCTTTATATAACATTATGCAAGCTGAGCTCTGGAAAAGTAATGCTTCGTCACGATTAGGACAAATAGTTTTGCCGTTATTGGTATATTTTGATGGCTTTGACACCGGCAATGTATTTGGTTCCCACTGTGGCTCCAATTCTATCGGGGGATTGTACTATACACTCGCATGTATACCTCCACAGTATCGCTCTCAATTAAATTTTATTTTTATTGGTCAGCTGATTTATGATCAAGATCGGAAAATTTTTGGTAATGATGCTACTTTTGGACGAATAATAGAAGAATTTAAGCAGTTAAGAACTAAAGGAATAAATATTCAAGTCAATAATATGATAAAAACTATATATTTTGAAGTTATTTTGATAACTGGGGATAATTTAGGACTAAATGGAATTTTGGGCTTTGTTGAAAGTTTCGGTGTTTCAAAATATTATTGTCGCTTTTGTAAAATGTCAAGAACTACATGTGAAGAGCAGTTTGTTGAAGATGAGAATCTCATTCGTAATAAAAAACAATACGATAGTGATCTAATTATTAATAATATTTCATTGACTGGAATAAAAGAAAAAAGTGTCTGGAATAAGTTGCACAATTTTCACGTAACAACTAATTCTGCAGTTGACATCAGTCATGATATGTTTGAAGGTGTATGTATTGATACGTTAAAAATGATTCTTCATCATTTTATTTTTAAAGAACAATTGTTTGATGTTGATACTTTAAATAGGCGCATTACTTTATTCGATTATGGCATTTCAGAAAAATCCAGTAAACCTCCAAATATTACTACTGATTCAACATCTGAGTTTAAGTTGAAAATTAAAATGTCAGCTTCAGAAATGACTTGTTTTGTACGATACTTAGGATTAATGATCGGTGACTTAGTTCCTCGTAACCACAAAGTTTGGGACGTTTGGATCCAACTTAGATATATTATATCTATGATTACTTCTCCTGTTGTTTATCAATCGATGATAATTAAATTAAAATCTTGGATATCAAAATTTTTAATCCTTCAAACTCAGACATTTAATTGGAAAATAAAACCCAAAGCTCATTTTTTGACCCATTATCCAAGAATGATGAATTTAATTGGCCCTTTGCCTCATTGCTCAACCATCAGATGGGAAGCTTTTCATAAAAGATTAAAAGCTGACGCAGTGTCAACTTCAAGTAAAAAAAATATAACCCATACTATTTGTGTCAAAGAACAATTAAGATTCAAAGATTTTTTCAAAGACACTGAATACCTGAATATTTTGAATTTTGGCAAGAAATTGAAAGTTACTAAAACATTGAATGATTACCTATCTAGAACTTTTTCAGAGGCTAAATCTATCAACATTTTTTCATGGATAGAAATAGCTGGAACTAAATATTGTAACGGTATTACTGTAATAATTCGTTTGAAAACTATTGATCAATTACCTTTATTTGGTAAAATTATACTCGTACTTGAAATTGATGGAGTAATTTATTTTCAACTGAAATCTTTGAAATCTACAACTTTTGATGAACATTACTTTGCATATGAAATCTCCGCAAATGAATCTACAGATATACGTTACATAAAATATGACTCAATTCCTATAAAGACTCCTTGTTTAAACATTAAAAAATTTTCGAAACAGTATGTTGCAACGAGATCTATAATTCCGGATCTACAGATTGTTAAACAATCATAATTGTAAATAAAATGCTTAACGTTAAAAATAAACAATTAAAAAAAAAAAATACTGACATTTTTTTTTAATTTATACTTTTTTAAAACCCAAATATATTTAGGGTAATTATTTACAAGTGGGATCCACCCTATTTTTGATGTTTTTTATATTTTTTTTTTTTAATATACAAAAAAATTATAAATTATAAATATATAAATAATTTAGTAAGTAATTTTTTATTATAAACTATAAAAATTTTAGGTTATATACTGTTTATTTATTTTTACGCAATAGGTTAACCGCATATTGAGTAAATTGAACTACAATTGGAGTTACAAATACCGCAAGCTGTAGCATATCTTACTTTTTGCTACAGTTGACGCTTAACTACAATATTGGAGTAAATCTACTCACAATTTGGAGTTGTCTCAGATCATACTACAGCCTGCGGTAAATGGTACTACAGTTGTTGTTGCCACTACCGCAATTTATTTTCCGTGTAGTTGATGAGGTACAGCGGGTAGGAGTCAAGCAAAATAACCAAACAAAATACGCTCCCGTGGACAAAACTCCCCTTTAATGGGTTGGTCACACTAACTGACCTAACAAGACGAGGGTAACGTTGTTCGCGTCCGTAGGTACTGCTTTAACACCCTACACGTGCTCTCCGGGTAGTGCTAAATGAACAACACCAAACAACGATATGGAAATGTCAGAAGATATTCAAACATCGTTTACAGTACAGAGGATGGATACCTCAGTGCCGGCGACGGAAGGCGTGCAAACGGGCCTGAACCCGTCGTTATCAAGCGACCGTTACGACAGCCGGGTGGACCCCATGGCTCTGCTGTCTGGAAATGCTACAGGGAGGATGCAAACAGCCCAGACGGAGGAGAACGGACAGCTGAGCAACATTCCTTTAAAAAAAGGAGGACCTTTTGCTCCTGTCACTGATCAGAAAACAAACAAGAGAGAAAACGGGCCTAATCCCCAGCAAGATGCACTGCTACTTAGTGCAAAGATGAAGAGGACAAATGCGCTGGCACATCTGGAGAAGCTAGTCAACGGACTGCAGGACTTTCTCCAAACCAAGAAAAATGTCCACAAGGAGATCAAGTCGAAGACGACGAACATCTGCAGTGCCCTGAGACGGTTCAAAAAACTCGACCAAGAATGGCGGGAGATCCAACAACAACACGGTAATATCGGGATGAGGACGAGTGTGACAGCGGTTTCACCTGCAAAAGCTGACACGTTGGTCGAAGAGATGGACACAGGTGGCGAGGGTGACGTCGAGTCAGTTGTAGAAGACGGAGAGGAAACTAGAGCTGTTATCAGGCCCGGGAAAAGAAAGAAACGAAATTCCCCAGACTCAATGACCAGCCGTACTAAGAAGAAGGACATTAAACCAAGTCCTCCAAAAAACGCGGTAATACAAAACGGCGGAAAAAAGGAGGCGAATGAATGGCAAAAAGTCCAGTCAAGGAAGTCCAAGAGAGAACAAGCAGAAGAAAAGCTCCAGAAGCAACCGCCGAAGGAACCCAGGCCAGAGCATAAGCGGAAAAAACCGCGCAAATGAATCAGACCCGACGCACTGATCATCCGCCCGGCCGAGAAAACAAAGTATGCCGAGATTCTGCGTCGCATAAAGCAGGACGTCCCAGATGAGCAGGTTCGTTCAACTGTGGATAAGATCAACAAGACCAGAAGTGGGGACTTGTTGATTACGATTTCGAGGAAGAGCACTGACAAAGGCCAGGGTCTGCAAAAGACGATCGCGGACATCCTTAAGGAGGAGGCCAAAGTGATTTGCAAAGGGCCACAGGAGACTATCGAGATCCGAGATGTCGATCATGAGACGACGAAAGAGCATATTCAGACCGCACTAAAGAGGGAAGCTGGAGAAAGTTGTGAAATCCCACTAGAGGCAATCAAGATCCGTAAAGCCTCTAGGGGTACACAGATAGCCACAGTGTCACTACCAGCAGCTGCAGCACAAAAGTTAATGGAGGGAAACTGCAAAATACGGATAGGCTGGTCGAATTGCCGAATAAGAGCAACGAAGAGACCCATACAATGCTTCAAATGCTGGCAATTTGGGCACATCGGATCCCAGTGCAAAAGCGAAGTCAACCGGTCTCAGCACTGCATAAGGTGCAGAAAAGAAGGACACAAAATTGCTGATTGTAAAAATCCAGCTGAATGTGAACTGTGCGTTGAACGGCACGGCGTAGAAAAGGCAGCTCACCATGCAGGCACGAATAGATG